ATATATATATATATATGTATATATATATATATATAATTTATATATTATATAATATTTATATAATATTTATATATTATATAATATTTATATATTATATAATATTACTATATTTACAAGGTGTCAAAAACATCCATATATATACATATACATACACATATATATACATATATATATATATATATGTTTTTGACACCTTGTAAAATGCGAGCCCAACAAAGTGTTGTTGAAGGATAAGCTTACATGGCATTTAATTAAAAGCAATCTCCTTGCAGTTTCTGCCTTCATTTCTGTTTATTCACCATGGCAGAAGGATTAGTTATGCACTAAAGGCTGCAACCTTATAGTAATTTTCCTGGGAGCAGCCCCTGCCCCTCCCTCCTGCCCAACTCAAAGAGTCTTAATTCTGGTGACACTCTTGATTATCAACTTGCATTTGTTAGAATTTTTTTATTTCTTTACATGGCAAAATATACCTAAGATTTCGTATTTAAAAACTTAAACAAAAGAAAGATGCTTCCTTTTTTGAGGCCAAGTTTTGGCAAGTTTTGTTTATGTTTTTTTTTTTTTATAAACAAGTCAGCTTTATTTTTTCCTCTTTGGGAAAATGTGTCTAGCGATGGAGTTTTGTAGTAGAAACATACAGTACTGGAAGCCTGTACTACTTCACTGGTCTAATTCTAATGAAGGCTGCTATTGAATATATTTTTATAACAATTAGTAAAGACCTTGCTGTTCTATTTTTTTTAACTTGTCAAAACAATACGAAGTTTAAAACCAACAACAATAAAAGCAGGTAACAAAATGCAACAGTTACAAAGACCATGACAATTTATTTAATACCTTTAATTCTGTGTGCATTTTAATTTGAAAAAAGAATAATAGCCTTCTTATTGGATATTCACAGCTGTTTGTCAACCTGGATGTAAGCATGGAGAATGTATCGGTCCAAACAAATGCAAATGTCATCCAGGATACACTGGGAAAATATGCAACCAAGGTAAGAAAACAAAAAAAGGGAAAGAAACACAAATAAAACTGAAACTGTATAAAACTTCAGTTAATTGCTTTGTTTTCATAGTAGCTATTGCCTGGTCCTTATCAGAATTATAAAGGAAAAGTAATTTATACTGCAGAAGTACAGCTTCATTCATTCTCTAGGTAGGATAAAGATATTGGCCACTTGATTTAATGATAGTCAAGATCAATTGCATTTTTTTTATCAAATGAAAGTGAACAATTATGGAATCTTTGATATCTTCTCCTTATTTCCATTGGTTTGAAGACACATCAAAGTCTTCACTCCCAAAGTGAGCTTCAGGATAGAAAAAAAATATTTCCCACCCTTAAAATACCCTGATTACCCCCAAAGAGAAAAAGGGAGTACTTTTTAAAAAGAGAATCTATTCACTTTTTGGTAATCTGGGGACAGAAAAAGGGAAATTTTGGCAGGAAATATGTGTGGCTTGTAGATCACATTATTTTCCCTCTTGGCCAATTTGAACTGAGTGACAACCTGTATTATCTCTTACAAATTTTTTTTCAAATTTTTGCTGCTTAGCCCAACAGAACCCTTCATAAATATTTACAGTTTAACAAGCTGTGGGAACTTAATTCAACTTGCTATGATCAGGACTCCTTTCTCAAAAAACAAGCAAAGCAATCCATATGCTAAAATAATTTAAATAGAAAAAATATTCATTTCATCAAATGAAGAAAATTCCAACTAAGTGAAACTTATGTCTGTTTATTCTCTGTTTTCAAGTGCTTGAAGGTGTAGTTACACTAATTAATTTTTTCTGAAGCTTTTAAAACATTTCAGAATATCTGACAACTTGAGAAAGTTGGTGCAACAGGAAATGTGTTTCCTGGTAATTATTTCCCACTTTCCATAGCTTAGTGAAATTTTCTAAATGTTATAAAAAACGTACTTGTTATTAAACTTTACCTGAAAGATTCTTGTGAAACGTTACATTTTGTCCTAGCCTCTTTCCTGCCTTACCCCTCTCCTTCCCCTTCCCACAATACATCATATTGTTAGATTTTCTTCTACTTTTGGTAGTGTGTTATACTGTACCTTCTTTCTAATCTAAGCAAGAATTGCCAAAAGTTTGGGGCAAAAGGAATTCCCAGAACATTGGTGCAATGGGGCCCTATCACAAAACTCTTTCTGTAGCAAGTACTCTTGACCATTTCAGTTCGTGTTTTTCTCTCTAAATGTAAGCTTCCACTTCATTTAAATCTGAAGTGTTGCACTATGTATCATTGGTGGGTACCCCAGTAGATGTGCTCATCTGTTTGAATAATTTCTGACTTCGGATTTACAAGAAGATTCACCTTCTCAAGGTTTGTATAGCAGTGACTTCTCTGTACCTCAGTTGAACATTCAGCTTTTTCAGGCCCATGCTACAAATTCAGCTTGATGATCTCTTCCCCTAAACCTAATCTGCTGCTGTTCTTTAGAGAACTGAGATAGTTGACTGTAACATGAAAAAAAAGGTATTTCATCTAATAAAGTGCCATGTTGTGTTGCTGAGTTTCAGTCATTTGACTTTTATTATGCCTTCTCGTCCATTGTGAAGCTGAACACCTGTTTGCAACCTCTCCACACTGGTCCAGTGAGCCACCTTTTTTCACCACTGCGGAAGATCATGCCACATATTTGCCTTGGAGGGGTGAGGACAGTCCTTTTATTTCAGGTGGTCCACCTGCACGGCTTCAGTACCAATGGAAACCTCTTTTGCAAACAGGCTGAAAGGATAACACACTTCTGGCTGCCACAAGGAAGCCTGCAATATAGGCAGCATGCAATTAGACTGAGCATTGACACTTCCTTAAGACAGTCACTCTATCTTCCAATCAATTCTCTTCTGCAACAACTTCCCTCCTGTGGTTGTTCTTCTGCTCAGAGCTTTTGAGATGTATGCTACTTTTTCTAAACTCTTTTTTAATTGATAAAATGCTGCTTGCTTATATAAGGTTAAGTAAACATCATAATTGTAGTAATTGTCAATGTCTCTGGCAGCCTCTCTTCCAGGAACAGTAGTGCTAGTGTTAGCATGTAAAACACATCCACCGTATAGTATGAGCAATGGCAATAATAATGTAACTTCCAGGCAATCCTGAAGCTTATACATTTACTGTAAACATCTCTTGACAAATTTTAAAAAAAGGTTTATGATTTGCAGAAAATCTAGGATTTGATGCTCCATCTAGAGATTTAGAAGAACATAAGTAGAAAGTGCTGTACAGTATGTAGATAATGTCAGACCTAGCAAATATCAAAAGATAAGAAAGACAACTATTGTATCTAAGATGCTGCAGAATAGGAAAACTTGAGTGGGAAGAATGGATAGATCTTCTCTTTGATATCTATTAAGAGGTACAGCGGACTTCTTAGTGCTTTGCAATATATTATTCAAGAAGATAATTAGATAATTCCCAGAGGTCTGCTAGCTGTGACAATTGAGCAGGTCCTTGGTGCATTTTTTTCAGATAGCACAGTGTACATGGGACAATAGTAATCAGAATCTGAATGCTTATAGGCCTGATGTTCTATAGATCTGTTGGGATTATACTTCTAGAAATCCCATCCAGCAGGGCTTTTTGGAGTCCCATCATATCTTGAGAATAGGAAGTTCATTTAGAATAATGCTGCATGTTTGATTGATAGTTTATTCACAAAATATAATTTTTCAACAGGAAAACTATCAGACAATGTGGCTTGTTAAGGGTTATTATTGTGCTGACTGGAACTATCACTCACAAGATTCAGTTTATAACCCGTGCAAGTTATTAATTATAAATAATTAACCTAGGATCAATATTTTACCACATTTTCCGGTGCAGGAAATTGTCCTTAAGGTTCTTCAAATGTTTTTATTGTTACGTGCTGAACTGAGGGTAATAGCTCCTTTGTTTTCTGCTGGTGCACTTGCAGTCTGTAATTATCATTGGGAGAATGGGCCCTACAGTTAGATCTCTTTGATGGTTGGGAAGATGGCTGTCTTGTCCCTAGTTCAACTTTTGTTTGGAGCCTGCAGAAATACTGGCAGGCAAGAACAAAGAGAAGTTGAAAAGGATTTAAATATTGCAGAGTTATCATGTCCTTCCATACCTCTGCGGGTGGATTTCAGCATGGATGATGTCTCCAAGCCTGATCCTGGAAGCACAGTTTCATTTCATTTAGCTGAAAGTGATTAAAAGCTTTGATTTTATGGCATCTGAAAAGCAGTTATAGTTCATTGTTAGAGGCAACTGTTAGGGATTCATTATATTAGCTAGGAACTGCTCTGCAATGGTAGCACACATAAGCCCTTTGCTTTCTAAGAAAAGCAATAACCATTTCTCTTGCTATAATGCAGTAGCTAAGCTTGGCAGCCTGCGCTTATGAGACTGGCTTTTTTAAAAGGGCTGCTTCAACACCTAGCTTTCTCTATATGCTCTTCAATATATAGTTGTAATGATGACAACATTCCTATGTTATTATTTTAGTGCTACTCTTTTTGTGTGTATCTTTAGCTTCTGGTTATGAAGAAAAATATACCAACAAAAACAAAGCTTGCTAAAGCACCTCTCATTAAATTGTTTTCAAAGTGCAAAAAAACATGGAAAATTGAAGTGGAATTTTTTAAAAAAAGATTTCAATAATTAATGTTTTGTAACTTTTTGTTACAATCGATCCAACTTTCTAGATTTACCCTTTTTAGTTCGTAGAGTATTCTAAGCAAGATGTTTGTGGAACACATTTTCTGATCTTTTTGAAAAATGCAACATGTAGGCCAGTTTATTTTAAAAAAATTACACTTTTTTAGCTAAACTAACTAATGCTTACATGTTTAGCTCTAACTAGTCCTTCCCTTTATATAGTTTCCACTATACTGGCATAGTATCAATGGCTAAAATAGTGAGGTAAAATTGTAAACTTTGGGGAGAAGAAAACATAACTGTACCATAAAAATGGTTAATCTTGCCCTAATCATTCTTATTTCAATCTTAGGCAAGTCTTAGAATGGAGGAAGAATATGATGTATCTTACAGTTTTGTGTGTGAATAGATTTAAAAAACAAAACAAAACACAACAGGATTATATGGTGTAGATAACCACTACAACTAGTGTGGATTGAACAGGATTCAAAATTAGTTCTGAGAGTAGCAGACTTGTATCTGGAATGCTGCACAGGATTGTGTGTATTCAGTGTATTTGTAAGGCATGTGGAGATATATGCATTCCTGTTGCTTTGTCTGCATAGTTCATATAAATGATCAAAGGCTACTGAGGTCAGTGAAAAAGCACAACTCAGAGTAAAGGTTGCCCTATGGTTATTGTATAAAATCCTTTGCAGGCTTATGCCTACCTTGATGTCCTTAAATTATTTTCCAAATGAACAAAATAAGTCTATGGCCCATTTATAGACAATTGTTTCTACTTGAGAAATCCCTACTGAAGGCTAGTTTGTGTGTGTGTGTGTTATTGAAATTTTCAGTGGAACCTTTGATATTCATATTATTATCATACCATATTGCTGATAAAATATATTGTTGTATATATCCAATCAAAGAAAGCTGTTATAGAATGTAAACAGAAAGGCGGTTTATTAGAGATGATGTTACAGAAAAACAGTTGGGTTAAAAAAAAGGATTTTTTTTCTTTAATTAAATTATATTGGAGAACTCCAATTCAACACTTCTAGCCTTTGAACAGAATAACAGTACAGAAACAATGAAGCTGGTTTGAAATATCCTATTTCCAGTACAAGATTTGAACCTTAAAATAATATATTTCAGACTTTTGACCACTGAACAAAGTCAAGAAAAATATACAATTAATGTTTAAATAAAATTAAGCAAGGTGTAAAAAGCTTAGTGAAACAGTGTTAATATATTTCCCTTATTAAGATTTATTTTAACAGTTCACCCTAACACTGCCAAAACCATTACATTTGTGTACCAAATCATGTGTAGTAAACTATGTGTCATAATCTACACTTTCTGAATCTGAAACAGTATAAACGTTTCAATAGGCTATTGCATTTTTCCTACAATATATTGTATATATTTATATCTATTTACTAAGTTTGGGTTATGTCAACCAGTAATGATTGAATTCCTTATGACAACTACCTAACCACTTTTTTCTAAAAAGAACATACTACCTCAATTTAACTAGACATACTCATAGAAAGCTAAATGTATGCTTGGTTCTAAGAATAAGTAACAGAACTTCCATAAAAGATATTTTATTCGCATTTGTTATTCAGAATATTACAATACAAAGATAACAAGTTTAAAACTATTCATTGCCTTAGATCAGATAATGTCATGCTAAGCTACAATGCTTGGTGTGTGTGTATGTATGTGTGAATGTATGCATGTATGTATGTATGTATTTATCTATCACATTTTTGCCCATCTCCTTCAAAGAGGGACTCTGGGCGGTCTACAATAAAACATCAAAATATAAAAACAGTATATAAAAATTAAAACTAGAATTTAGTGTATTATACAAGCCAACATCTACTGCTCCTATGCAAGCTAATGCACTGTGGTCTATTCAACAATTATAAGTACTTTTTTTTTTTAAAAAAAAGTCAGCTTCTATGTAAAGCAGGCTTATTTTTCTAAAAGAACTGACTTTGAAAGTCCTGAAACTTCAAAATGCTAGCATTCAATGTTTGCTTTGTTTTTATTTCTTCCTCCTCACCCTTCCTATATCCTATTTAGATCTCAATGAATGTGGATTGAAACCAAGGCCTTGCAAACATCGATGTATGAATACCTATGGAAGCTACAAATGTTATTGCTTGAATGGGTACATGCTTATGCCTGACGGATCGTGTTCTAGTAGGTTAAGTTCTCATTATTTCAATTTTTTTTTTTTGCAGTGCAATTCCTTAGAAGCAGGAGTTAATTTGCCTTAAGCAAAGGACTCTAGTAATGAGACCATAAAACAAAACAAAAAGAAGAAATAGCATTCCATTTGTTTTATTTTCATGAGATACAAGAGTCACTTTGAGGTGACTCACAATTGTCATATTTAGAATGCTACAACATAGCAAGAATTAATAATGTTTGTTAAGTTGCAATATTGCTGTCAGAATTCCCTGACCAGGTCTTGACAGTAATTGATCGATCTTCTGACACAGATTGGCTTCTTGGCTTATCTTGGCAGTAGATTCACATTTCCACTAGTTATAAATATTTGTTACAGACAGTAATGGAACTATACAAAACAGTTAATCATTGTTGGTCAGACTACACAAATTATGTATATACATTCAGTAATATAAATTTATTTCTTCTTCCTAGAATTAATAGGCTCTTAATATAGTGCTTAGTCACCTTGAAGCCAGTGAATTGTATTATATGTCTGACATGTTCAGCAAGAAAATCACTAACTACTCTCTACCCTCAAGTCTATTCTTTTTCTCTGATTTCATCACCATCACCACATGACTCACAAAATACTTGTCCTTTCCCTCTTTCTGGCTTTGAGGGAGTGTTCCCTTCTTCCATCTCTATTTTTCTTCATTAGGAACTCTCTCTCTCTCTCTCTCTCTCTCTCTCTCTCTCTCTCTCTCTCTCTCTCTCACACACACACACACACACACACACACACACACACACACCACACATATTTCAAAATTCACTTTCAGTCTGAGGTGAAACATTCTCTGCATTTCTCTCATCAGTTATTTCTCTGTTCCTACTTCTTCTCAATCTTCACCCTCATCAGAATCAAAATTGGGTTTGAAAACTTTAAAGCTCAACCAGTCAGGCAATTTTGACCTGAGAGGAGAAATGGAACTACCAAAAGAGCTGATTTCTACTTTCTGCCAAGAATGTTCTCTATCCTTGTAGCCTTTCTAAATATTCAGGCTTTCCCCACCTATGCTGAATGTTTTAAATACACACTGCTCTAATTTTTCCTTTCTCCCACCAAGAAAAGATGGTGGGATAGAGATGTGTAAGTGGCAAGGAGAATGTTTGAGAATCCAGGAAGTAATGGAAATCAGAGTGATTGGAAGCAGTGAAAGATGAACACAGTGGTACCTGGTTACTCAACTGCTTTGAAACTCATCAAATTTGCTACTCAGTGCATTTTGATGCAAAAAAATTGTCCTGGTACTATTTGTTTGGTAGTGAAAACTTGTTAAACAAGTGGCAGCCTTCCCCACAATACAAAAACTAAAATATCCCAAATTCTTGATTGGCCATGCGGGCTGGAAATGGAAATTGAAGTCCCGATGAATTAGAAGGGCTCTATACTATACAAGTTCTCTATACAATAACTTTTATTTCTGTGTCACTTAAAAGCAATAAATAAATAAAATAAAAACCATTTTTAAAAACAGAAAAGCAAAGCAACAGTCTTAAAGACAGTATATTCCTGAAGTATTAATTGAACTGGGTGAACAAGTTTGTTTAGATATCAATTGAATATTTCTTGGGAGATAATCCCATAATTGGAATGCTGAATCTACCATAATTCAGTGTTGGCTGAATATACCATTATAACCCTAGGTGGGTTTCCTCAGATAAATGAAATCTATCAAAATCATCCCATGCTTGATAGGTTTGCTCTTTTAATGTTTTAGTATAGTTTTCCTGTAAGTGAATAGCAATAGCACTTAGACTTACAGAGCTTCACAGCCCTCTCTAAGCAATTTACAGAGTCAGCATATTGCCCCCAACAATCTGGATCCTCATTTTACCCACCTCGGAAGGATGGAAGGCTGAGTCAACCTTGAGCTGTTCAGGATTGAACTCCTGGAACTAAGAATGCAGAGTTGGCCTGCAATACTGCATTCTAACCACTGTGCCACTACAGGTTGTAATAGTAGAAAGAAAGTTCCACCTTCCCCTTATTGAAATAAAATTGACTACAAATTTTAGTAGTCAATTTTATTAGTATATTTTAGTACACCAGGAATGGAAGAAATAGCAAAATTTTCTCTGCAGTCAGGAAGGAAAGGTCTCAGCAAGCTAATCACAGCAATGTTTCCATTGGCTTTTTCTGTTGATAAAGTGCATGGCAATGCTATTTTTAAAATAACTTGACAGCATGGAACATTCTGAAGCATTTGATTAGCATATTAATTTCTCCACAGATGCTCTCACATGTTCAATGGCAAACTGTCAATATGGCTGTGATGTGGTCAAGGGGGAAATACATTGTCGTTGTCCTTCACCAGGGTTACAGCTGGCACCAGATGGCAGAACATGCATTGGTGAGTCAAAGATATTTATTTTCTCTCTTCCACAAGATGTGGAAATTCTAGGCAGCCTTTGAGAATAAATTTTGTTTGAAGGAAGAAACTTTAGAAACTAAAGGAGACTTTATAACAGGAGTGCCTAAGCTTGGCCACTTTAAGACATGCTGGTTGGGGAATTTTGGGAGTTGAAGTCCACAAACTTTAAAGTGGCCATATCACAGATGTGTCAAAATAATACTCAAGCAAATCAAATTCTTAGAAACAACAGTTCTCCATTCCTGATATACTAGTGGGATATTTAATATTCTTGGGCCTTTCAATTCTGTTAACTATTATGCATGTTGAATTTTTAAACCAGGTAGAAGAATAAAATTGGAAAAAATATTCTTAGGGTTAGTGATCTCTGTAGTAAAAAAAGACTGAAAAAGTACTATTTTTGTTTAAATGTAATAATGAACAAATCATTCACAATTAATGTGGGGCAGAAAAAGAGAGAAGCAAGAGAAAAGCATTTTCATTCTTGAAAATATTATATTACCTGAATGATTTTTAAGAAGTAAAGAATCTTAATGTATTTTAACCAACCTGAACATCTCATTCAGAAATAGTTTTTTTTTTAAATAAAAAGCATTATACAACTGAAAGAATATACTACAGTAAAGGAGAACATCTCATGACCACTGAAATGAATTTGTTAACTTTAAATACTGTAGGAAATTATCATATAGTTTTCTCCATATCACAATATTTATCAGAATAAAAATTAACTGTTTTTAGAAACTATTACGGAGATAGAAGAATCTGTTCCTACAATGATCCAAAATGATGAAATGTGTGTTGGGTCATCAAGATGAAATATCTGCCTTTTTATACTTGTGTTGTGATGTAGTAGCTTGCTTTGTGATTGTACAGTTCATCTTATGCTTTCCTCCTCCTTGCTTCCTCCTATGGCCACTTACAATTACAATGTGAACTTAAACTTCAAAAAGGCAGATTCTGACTGAAAATTGGGAGAAACTTGATACGAAGGGCAGTTTGATAATGGACCAGTTTTGAAGGAACCATTCAGTGGGTTCCCTTAATTAAATGATGTCATCTCCAAGAACCCTAGAAGTGTGTCTTCTTTGTAGCATCCCCTGCTGTCTGGAATGAGGTTCTTCCAAAGAACCAGATACCCCCACCTGCTCTTGATTAATAGAGACAGGAAGACATGACTCTTTACTCAGACCTTTGTTGAGGAAAAGTGAGACCCTTTACTTCATTGCTCTAGCCTCTTTTATCTTTATTTTTATTGATTTTACTGTAATTCCTTTGTGTGATTGTTGTGAGCAGCCCAGAGACATTTAGAGTTAGATGGCATACAAGTTAAATTATTGTGGTTGGTCACACTGTTAACCAAATAATATCATATACATAGCAATGTGAAATCAGAGTTGCCAGTTTTTTAGTTGGTATTGGTTTTCATACGTATCAAGTTCTTTCCAAGAACCTAGGATATCATAATGTATCGGGGAAGTATATGTATGGATCCAAGGAGTATAGCCTTTTGTAGTTGACAGATGGCAATTTTGTCAATACACTGATTTTCTAAGTGCTATCTAGGATTTTTTATTATCACACCCAGTGTGCCAAAAGCCACAGGGACCACCACAGCTGATTTATAGTTATTGTGTTCAGACAGAAACTGGATAATGATCTATCACAGATATTTTCAGTTGGATTCATAATAGAGCAGAGAATTGAACTCAGTAACCAAAATCCCTGCTTTCAATGTTGTGAATATATAATGAATGTATCTTTTTCATATATTACTAGGGTGTTGATCCCTAGAATCTGGTATGCCTGGAGTCTTGGAAATGTTCTCTATAAATCATTATGTAAATATATAATTCCATTTTGTATAATAGTTTCCAGAAACAGTTAATAAAGCTTTTGACAAGCATAATAGTTTGTGTATGAAACCTTCCAATGATTGGATTGAACCAATTGCTTGAAATAGCCATTTAGTGTCCTTGGCTGAACTTGATTTTCAGCATGGAGATCTGCCAATAAAATTCACTTGTGCAACAGGATAAATTATAATAATAATAATAAATCAGAATAAATTGTGCTTTTGAAGGATACTATATTTTAGTTACCTCTTCCTAAATTAAACATTTAAGTGTTCTAATTCTTCCTTTATAACTCCTTTTCTAACATTCACAATGTTTTGCATACAATTGTTCTTCACAGGATTTAAACCTGCTTTTTATAAAATTATGCCACATTAGGGGTGAGAGATTCCATTTGAAAAGATCAGGAAAAGTAGAGTTATCAGTACATTCATCTTACAATTTAACTGTAATTTTTGCACAACACTAATAATACATAAAAAGTAATGTCCCAGAAGACTATTAGCCTTTCAGATTATCCACGATGAATGTGTTTTTGAATTTGAATACATGAAACTCATTGCTACAGATTATTAATGGACTTCTGTTTGTAGATGTGGATGAATGCATCACTGGGAGTGTTACCTGTCCCCGATTCAGAAAATGTGTCAACACTTTTGGAAGTTATATTTGCAAGTGTCATAAAGGCTTTGATTTGATGTACATTGGAGGCAGATACCAATGCCATGGTAATGAAAATCATTCATTAAAAGAAAACCATTTTTAAATATTTGTTGTACTTCACACATTTGAAAAATATAAGTCTGAAATAGAAGCAGGGTTGCTTTGCTCTCTCTGTCTTCAACTGCCACGTGCAACAGGGAATCTCTGAAGGGATTTGACGCCTGTATTTGCCTACATATTGCTATCATATTTTGTATAATTGGAGTCATCTCTTCTACAAAAATTTATAAACCCATGTTTAGCCAAATGCATTTGCAACTTCACTTCACATTACAGGAACTGTAGAATTCTGAGTTTATGCTCTCTGGGTCTCCACTATATCCAGTCTTTTGAATTATCAAAATGATCTCACATTTATCTATGCTAGAACTAAACTGAGTTGTAAGAGGTAACTTCCTTATCTTCTGTAAACTTCATGATAGCCATTTAGGCTCTGTTGTGGTTCGCCTGCAGCCAGTGCGGACGGCAGAGGTATCGGACAGTGAGGACGATAGGGAACCAGTCAGGCAGTCTGGCGAGGACTTGGATGAGGGTCCTGCATCTGATGCAGGGATGGGGCCAGGATCCTCTGAGAGTGGAGTGCTGCCTTCGGAGCCTTTGGAGTCTGGCAGCAGCAAAGCAGAGGACCCTGGGGACCCTTTTTCCAGTGTGTGTGTGCGCAGGGTTGCTAGGAGAGAGCAGCTGAAGCATCAGGGGCAACTCAGGAATTAGGCTGGGAGGTGATTGCCCCTCCCATAAGGGATAAAAGCCAGCCCTCGGTGATGTGCTCTTTGCAGGAAGCAAAGAAGTTCATTAGATTCTGATTCCTCATCGCAGCCCTGCAGACTCTGGTTTGTCTTTGCTGGAACGTCTGTCGGTTTATCTGCTAATTAAGTGAACATCTGTTTCTTGGCAGCCTTTTACAATCCTGAAAGGTGTGCTCTTATCTCAGACAATTGTATTCAATATGTTTTGTCTGGGAATGCAAATAATTCCCAGTGTCATATTAAAAAAAGTTTGCTTTTACACACAGCATGTGATTTCTTAATTTGAACAAAGCCTGGGTCAGAACAAGCTCATTACCACCATCTACTGATTATATGGGCTTTTTCTGCCCAGATCCGACAGACCTGAATTATGGAGGAAGTGAAGGGGAGCTTAAACATTAGTCCTATTAGTACCAGGCTAGAGGGGGGTGAGGCAATTTTTTGGCTGGATTCAAATATCTCAAAAAGATAAGCGTGGTTATATTTGATTTTGCATAGCATCAACTGGAAACCCAGCCGTTATGTTTAGTAAACCATAGTTCATAGAATTTTTCCCAGCCATCTAGACATTTAGAATTCAAGCAATGTGAATCCATCCTGTAATATGTGGTTCTTTTTTGTAGCCTACAGTATTCAATTATCACAGAAAAGCTTATAAATTAAAACTCAACTATCTAAAACTTCTGACCTTTTATTATTTCATTGCTTGTATAAGTCTGCTGAGACCTTCTTAAAATTTCAGATTCATTCAAGACTCTTCAAATAATTTGCCTACTATCTTAATTTTCACTTAGCATTTCAGCATTTTAATATAGTAATGGGATTTATTTCAATTTTTTTACAAGAAAGAATGTTAATTTGAAAATGCAAATGTGTGATAGTTATCACTGAAATGGTATTTATCTTTTCTTTTCCTGTTACAGATATAGATGAGTGCTCTCTTGGCCAATATCAGTGTGGAGGTTATTCCCAGTGTTACAATACACTAGGGTCTTACAAATGTAAATGCAAAGAAGAGTACAGAGGTGATGGATTAAACTGCATAAGTATGTAATGATCCTTTTAATCTTGTATTCTGAATCCAAATGAGACATGGCCTCTTTGTGAAGCTAATTTTTAGATCCATTTGTGGTTATCTCAGTTTCACGAACACTTGTAAAGAAAAGAAGAATATTCTGAAAGTTTTAAGAGCCTTAATATTAGAGCTATGACATTTGGACTATTTAAATCCAGATAACCACTGGGTGGTCATTGGGAAACTCCAAATCTTTGCTGCTATTCTGTGGCCACCTGGACATCTGTACCATTTTGGTAGCCATATTAAAAGGCTGGTGTAAAATATATTTTTCAAAATTGGTACGGTGTTTGTACTGGTTGGAATATTAAGGTTCCGTGATCAGATAATTTGAGCAATGTATACGCCAAGAAGAATGTGCTTTCTTCTATTGAACAAATACCTCAACTATTTAATTAAGATAATATTTAAGCACATGTGTATTTGCTTATACATTTTACAAGTTTAAAACTGTGAAGCCTCCACTATGTTTACAAGCACACACCTGAATAATTTCTGTTGCTATTAAAATGCAATATATTTCAAGAAAATTCTACAAACTGGTGCTGTCTAGTTTTGTTGGAACTCTAGAAGTCCTGTTTACTTTGAAGATTACATAGCCAATTTATGGAAAAAATGTATCTCCTTGAATATTTGATAATCCCATATAGATGTGGAAATTGTACTTATGAATTAAAGATAGAAAATTTTACCAACAAAGCTATAAGCAAGCATTATAATACTTTTATGCTGATATTAGTCTAGAAACCCTGTTTTTTTTGTGTGTAGTTGCTTTTGTTAGAGTTAACACTGCATCATTTCTTAAGTTTGCACATTTCTCGGTTTTTTCTTTCCAGGGATTCCTAAAGTTATGATTGATCCATCTAACCCCTATAGTGTATTTAAAAGCAATTCAACTTTTCTGAAAGGAAGCAATGGCATGACCAACAGAATACCTGAATATGGTGGTACAAAATATCCCATCCAATTCCCATATATACCATATGTAATTACACCAAAGTCTTATGTGAAGACAACAGCAAGACCAACTGTGAAACCAACATACAAACCATATACCAGATTGCCAACACAACCTGCCACGACAAGACCAGCTTTCAGGCCAGTGACAAGATTTCCACCAGTGACAAGTCCTCCCCAACAACCCAGAGTTCCATTTAAGCCTGTAACAACAACAATGCCACAAGTAGTAACTGAGGAGCATCTGCCTTTTCCTACTGAAACTACACCCCAACCGGGACTTACGGTTGACAATAGGATCCCAATTGAGCCACAGAAACCCCGAGGAGATGTGTTTAGTAAGTAAGGCTAGGTTTTCTTATGTCTTAATGTGAAATCTAGTTAATTAACTAGACTAAATTCATCAGTCCGGGAACAGGAATAAGAGAAGAGTGGGAGAAAGTGATGGGTTAGGACAAAACTATTTGTGGTGGTTAAACAACATGTTGTTTATTGATATTGATCCACACTGTGACATTTTAGAATATAAAATTCTAAATTATATATCTGGGTATATCCATACTATCATTATTACTGCTTTAAACTACTTTTAAAGAATGAATAAGACAGGAATAATACAAATGAATACATTTATGTCTAGTGTGGCAAAACCCTTTTCTCTACCTCTCTTAGTACAAACCAGAGTTTTGCACTGAAGAATGGTTAAAAAAGCACATAATTATTATTTGGAATATTGTATCACAAGATCTTGTATAACTTGATGTTCTCCTGATGCTCAAAATAAGATTTCCCATACCATCACAAACAGTGTAGACACATTTATGGATTATAAGATAATCTATAGCAGCTAATCATAATAGCTGTATACTTCCACTATCAGAGGCAGTGTAAATATTATGTGGTAAGGGACATGTGTTGGAGGATGCTGTTACTTTCATCATGTTTTGTTTGCAGGTTGACCTCCCTCCGACATTGGTCATAAATGATCATTGTGGGAATAGAATGCTGGACTTGTGGTCTGTTCTAGGAAAATCTAGATCAACATGTCCAATCACAACAGATGGACATTTGAAAATTGAATGGAATGCTGTGATATGGGAAGTTTGGCCATGAATTAAATAAAAATAAATAAATACCAAGTATGTAATGGGTTAATATTTTGGACCCAAATTAATTCAAAGCAAGTTTTTGAGAGACGTGTTATTTCATGAGAATTCTCAAAGCCATCTTGTGGCTACTTGCTCAAGAATCAAATGGAAAGTCAAGTTCAAACTAATTGTTCATTTCTGCTTTATGGAATTTGCTCGTCAAATGGGAGACATTTAGGCTTCATGGTTCCAAAGGTGCATCTTCATTAGGGAGCATCATTTAGAGAGATGTCTTACAAATATTGTAGTACTTTCATGCCAAGCCAGCTTCATGCCACAAATTACATTTGATGACTTGCATGTTTTGGAATGCATGCCAAGAAATACTCCAGTGTTCTGTTTCATCTTTAGCATCACAACTGATGTTAATTATAAAGTTTATAGCGTATTTTGAAAAGTCTTTGGTGCCCAGAACAGTAACATTGCATAGCTAATAGAATATGAATTTTGTTATCTTGCATGGACAAGTGCATTCCTGAATACAGGAGTGATTTTGGCTGTATTTCAGCAACTCCTAGTAGAATACTTTCTTAAGACAGTTCTCTTCTTCCCCAAAAAAGCAGTTTGTTTGAATCTCTCACCTTTAATATATATATTGTAGGTATAAAGTCCTCATAAATTAGGGGACAGAAAACACAGTAGTTAAGCCTGAAGAAGATGAAGGTATTATCTAAACATACCCAATGTTTTTGAAACAAAGACATATTACACCATAATCCTCTGTAGGAATTATTAAGAATTCTTTAAAATTATTTTGCAAACACATTCAAGAGTAAGACTCTGCCACCCAGAGTAGTTGGCTATACAAGATGAGCAGCAAATAAATGGAATAAATAAATAAATAAATAAACAAACAAATAAATAAATACTGCAATTAAGTTCAGTGAATGAAAAAGTGAATAATATGTAAATTGTACAGATATCATTGTTTTGTTCTGCATTACATATATTGACTAATATGCAATGCAAGTGGATGCTTATTTTGTATTTATGATAGAAAAAACTGAACTTGAAAATTGGCAATTTGGCACATTCACAAAATAGCTAATACTCAGGAAAATCCATTAGAATATTTAAAATTCCTACACTGTCTTCCTCCCTCCTGAGGTGAGGATGGCTTCTTTGCATCTAAGTTTCTGAAGGTCCCTCAAGATCTGGTTATGCTAGGAGGCCTGAGGGCACAGGAGACAGGTGAACTAATCAGGTAGCTCCATTACTGTTAACATCCCTCCATGAGTTTTGTTTTTAAGTATTTTTTTTACAGTTCTTTAATGGTTTTAATATTTTTAATGGTTTTTAGATATGTTTTTTTAATTTCTGTTGTATACCACCCAGGTTCACTTGCTTGTGAGATGAATGGTTATATAAAGTACAGATAGATAAGATGGATGGATGGACGGACGGACGGACAGACAGACTTAAACCTATCTATAAAGCTAAAATCTAGACTGTCTATAAAACATTTTCTCAGCTGAAGTCATCATATGATGCAACAGCATCACAATATTTATCTTCTCCTCCTTCTCTTTAATTATACTTGCATACATAGAAGTAGCACTTAGACTTATATACTACTTCACAGTGTTTTTACAGCCCTCTCTAAGTGGTTTACAGAATCAGCATATTGCCCCCAACAATCTGGGTCCTCCTTTTCCTGACCTCAGAAGGATGGAAGGCTGAGTGAACCTGGACCCTGGTGAGATTTGAACTGCCAAATTGCAGGCAGCCAGCAGTCAGCAGAAGTAGTCTGCAGTACTGCAGTCTAGCCACTGCACCACCGAGACTCTACATACTAATCATACTATTCCATTTTAGTCCAATATTGAATTTGGACAATACTAAATAATAAATCAAATAAGTTGTTGTTGCTATTCATTCCTTTCTATGAATATTGACACATCTTAAAAAAATTCTCTAACCATTTCCCTGTTTTTAATAAGCATCCCACCTAGGTACACAATTTCATTTACTTGCTCTAATCTTTCATCATGTGCATATCTTGCAATCATTCATTCAGTTTTCCAGAGTTTAATATATAGCTTCTTATCTTCAAATGATAAAATGCTGTATTTTGTTTATCATGCTGTATAAACATATCCATTGGTTTGTAAATCGTGTTTTTTGGGTAGAATAGGTACATGTCAAAAAGCCAGTTTGGTGTAGTGGTTAAGACATCAGGCTAAAAACTGGACCATGAGTTATAGTCCCGCTTTAGACACAATACCAGCTGGGTGACCTTGAGCCAGTCACTTTGCCTCAGCCCTAGGAAGGAGGCAATGACAAACAACTTGTGACAAACCTTACCAAGAAAGCTGCAGGATTTGCCCAGGCAGTCCTGAACAGGAAAAAAAAAGAGAAAGTTACATGCACTATATTGGGTTAAAAACAATTTACACCCCCCCCCCCACACACACACACAGTCTCAATATCATACACATAACCTGTGGAAAGGCTTTTGATATCAAGTTGGAAAAGGTTTGGAACTCACAATGTAAGTTTCTCACTACTTTTCTGAATCCAAGCAAATGTTTTCCTTCAGCATGAAAGACAGTGAAATTAACTTTACTCAGACTTTTGAAAGTGCTTACAACTAAAAGTAGTTTATCTTTCCAATTCCATGTGCGTAGATGATCCTGCTTCATAATGGATAAACAGTAAGAGTCAGATAACAGATAATCAGAGTTGGAAGGGACCTTGTAGGCCATCTAGTCCAACTCCCGGCCCAAGCAGGAGACCCTACACCATTTCTGACAAATGGCAGTCCAATCTCTTCTTGAAAGTCTCAAGTGATGGCGCTCCCACAATTTCCGAGGGCAAGCTGTTCCATTGGTTGATTGTTCTCACTGTCAGAAAGTTTCTCCTTATTTCCAGGTTAAATCTCTCCTTGTTCAGTTTCCATCCATTATTCCTTGTCTGGCCTACAGGTGCTTTAGAAAATAGCTTCACCCCTTCCTCTCTGTGGCAGCCCCTCAAATATTGGAAGACTGCTATCATGTCTCCCCTGGTCCTTCTCTTTACTAGACTAGCCAAGCCCAGTTCCTGCAACCGTTCATTGTATATTTTAGCCTCCAGTCCCCTAAACATCCTGGTTGCTCTTCTCTGTACTTTTTCTAGAGTCTCAACATCTTTTTTATAATATGGTGAACAAAACTGGATGCAGTACTCTAGGTGTGGTCTTACTAAGGCTTTATAGAGTGGTATTAGTACCTCCCTTGATCTTGATTGTATCCTTCTGTTAATACAATTTAGGATTACATTAGCTTTTTTGGCGGCTGCTGCACACTGCTGGCTCATATTTAGCTGGTTGTCCACTAAGACTCCAAGATCCCTCTCAAGTTGCTGCTATTGAGCCTGGTTTCACCCAGTCTATATGTGTACTTTTGGTTTTTCTTGCCTAAGTCCCTTTCTTTTTAGCCAGACACATAAAATGGCGCAACAAAGACGAGCTTGGAAGAACTGGAAATGCTTTGACTTATCAATTGATTATGTGCCCTCAAATCAACATCTAATCTTAATAACCACATGTGTAGACATGCACCAAGATAATCTATTCCCATCGTAAATTTTCAGGGTTCCTCACAGTATACCTATGACAGCTGTAATTATATCTATGTATCTTGTTTTTGATCATTTTGTTCTTTCTTGTCATCAACTTGGTAATAATCAAAATGCTGATCAAATTTCATCTTTCATCTGTACAAGTTCTTATGAATAGGGAACATCTTCTAAATTATCTTGGATGTTGACATCTCTGTCATGTAGTTTTTCACTGTGCTTCCATCCTGTTTTTCTTCTTCTTCTCTGAATCATTCATCTTGTTACCCTTAGCATACTAATTCAAATAATAGATTTGCTATTGTCTCTAAAAACACCATGTACCTCCTTCATCTTCCCATATTGCTCCTGTCTAATATAGGCGCCTGCTTGCTTTAGCTAGGCAGCTGGGATGAACTTTATACTGTAGGTGAATTCTAATACTAGTTTTTATTTTTGGTATATACTCCTTGTGTTTTTCATTCATACTCCCAGAAAGTTAACTACCAGAATGAGGTGAAATAACAGAGCTTTTGGGGGGTTTGGTGGGGTGGGAGGGAGATGGCCTGCTATTTAGAAATCCATTAAGTTGCTTAGAGGTGCAAGGATGCTTAATTAATTGAGGAAACTCTTTTAATGAATCCACAGAATGTTAA